TAGCGTCCGGTGTCTCGCTCTGATACCATTTGTAAAAGCACAAGCCCATTGCTAGCATATATTTTTAGTTTTAGCTTGTTATGTATCGCCTTCAGCCTCACGGTTTTAAAACGTGTCTACTAGGAAGAGGTTTCCACACATTTATAACGAATGTTTCATTCCTCTCTCCAATCGATGTGGGACCTCACAGTTATTCCCTTTCTATTAACATTTAAAAAAAAAAACTAAATGGAGAAGCTTTCGAAATCATTATCAAATAGGCAATACAGTTTCGTTCGAAATTAGGGTTTGTACGAAATTAGGGTTTGTACTACCCTATGATATTATTGCTCGAAAAGTGGGGCATGAACATGAAGAACACTTCATTCTTGGAAGAACTCTCCTTATAGAAACCATTTCATGAATTGTTCTTGCATCTTCATTAATGATGTAATTGAGCATTTTGGTGGTTGAAGTATGTGAAATGTTTCCTTTGTCCATTTCCTCCATTTTTCATGGCATTCAAACAAGAATGTCAAATACTATTTGGGGTTAAATTATTTACGATATGATATCGATATCTGTAATATGATATCTACAAACACTCGACCCTATTCATGACTACCTTATTTGTACACATACCATGTGCCATTGCGTTGATAACATACCAACAAAATATAATATTGTCTTCGGTTTTTATAGTTCGTCTAATCTGTATTTTGTAATCTAGTGATGTTCTCATTTCCTCATGTCAACGATAAAGAATACCTACGACTTTAAAATAAAAATAAAAGAAAACAAGCTTATAAAATAGAATGATTATTACTGAACGAAATGTTTCTATGATAATTTTTGTTTTTTGTTCAACGATTGAGATTGGATATCAATTAGAACTATTGATATTTGTGATAGTAATTTGTACGTTATTCACTAAGCTATGCTCAAATTGATGTTACCTTAATAACTATGAACGAAAATTTATCCATAAGAGCTCGAGTTTTGTTCAAGATTTACATGCCAATGATTAATTTGTACTATAAACAAACTAAAATTTATACCAAACTTAATATTATTATTGAAATTAGCAAGTTTATAGAGATTTTTGGGTAAACTAGTTTAAATGGAACGAAAAGGAGAAGTTGTAACACTTATCTAAATCTAGGGTCCAATTTGATGAAATTGAAAGTTAATGAATCAAATCTATCCCGAGCATTTTAAGAATAAAAAATTTAACTAAAGTAAGACCATTCTATTAAGAATGTAACAGCCCAAACTCACCGTTAATAGAGTTGTAACCCGTTATGTATCGTCGTCAGCCTTACGGTTTGAAAGCGCGTCTACTAACGTGGGATCTCACAATCCACCCATTTGAGGGCCCAACGTCCTCGTTAGCACACCGCCTAAACTCACCACTAATAGATATTGTTTGTTTTAGCCCGTTACGTATCGTTGTCAGCTTCACAATTTAAAAACGCGTCTACTAGAGAGAAGTTTCCACACGCTTATCAGAAATGTTTTGTTTCTCTCTCCAACCGACGTGAGATCTCACAAGGAAAAACTAATATGATATTTCTTGTCAACCCGAACATAGCTTAGCTAATTTGACAGTATTACCCTCCAAAAGATCAATAGTCCGATTCCTACCTATCGAGCTCGAAAGAAAAAGATTAAAATAATATCCCATTGTCTCAATAATATCAAATACTTTTTCCATTTGTCTTATCTACCATCTCAACTACATGTGGCAAAGTTCCCAAACATGAGGAGCCATCAAATGACATACATCTCAAGGCAAACCTCCATGGCCCCATCATCATCCCACCTTAATTCTCCCCCACACCCTTAAAATATTAATAATAAATAAATAAATAAATAAATAATAATTAAAATAATTAAAGTGAATTTTATAGGAATAAAAAGGAGAGAAAAATAAATTTGTTTAAACTAGCCAATAGAAAATTGCCAACAATTGTCTTTTTCCTTTAATTTTTTTAATTGTGACCCACTAACCCTTTTTATTGCTCGACTTTTGCACATGAAAAATGGATAGGTGTCTTACTCATTTGAATAAGACAACAAAATAAACTATTATTAACTAATAAAATTATTACTTCATTTAATAATATATTTTATTTTTAATTGTATCACGCCAAGCTCACTATTAGTCGATATCGTCTGCTTTGATCAATTACGTATCGCTGTCAACCCTTTTTCACACATTTATAATCCCCATGGCAGCTCAATATCCTCGTTGGCACACTGCTTGATGTCTGACTCTAATACCATTTGTAACAACCTAAGTCAACCACTAGCAAATATTGTCCGCTTTGGCTCATTATGTATTGCTGTCAGCCTCACGTTCTTTAATGCGTATGTTAGGAAGAAGTTTCTATACCCTTATAAGGAATATTTTGTTCATTTTTCCAATCAATATGGGATCTCACATAAATATTCTCAGTAGGTATAAATTTGATAAAAATAAAAATATTAAATAAATTTTAGAAAATATTAGTGGCTCCAAGGATAATCTCTACCACAATCTTATTCGAAAATTTTATATTGTCCGTGTTTACTTTTAGACACGTAGAAGAAATTATAAATAATCGGGTTCCACCTATAATTAAAACAACAAAAATAACGGGTATATATATATATATATATATTTATTTCTAAAAAAAACAAGGTTGGAGTTGAGAAATTAAATTTATAATGGATTGCATCTCAATTAGTTAATTATGTGGTCACTAAATAGTAAAAGGCTTTATTGACTTACAAAAAATATTATTTTCCATTAAAAATTATTTATTAATAAAATAAAATTAAAGTAGGTCCACATATTTATATGTAAATATATGTCCAATAAAAATGCAACACATCAATAAAATAATAAATAAATATAAAAAAAACTTCTCAATATTGGTCCAAGAGGTTTGACTTTTTTTTTTTTTTAATAAAAATTTAAAACAACCTCCTAAGAAGCTGGAAATGTCCGGTTGGCAGTTTTCACTTTTAAGAAGTGAAAAGCAGGTAACACGACTGTATCGTAGAAGATGCAAGGAAATGTCGGAATCCAAAATGGACATAGACTTTGTAAATGCTTCACAGAAAATAAAATAAAATGGACATTGACTTTGTAAATGTCGTGTAATACGTGTGATGCGTGTGAAAAAAAATAATTTAAAATTTTAATTGATTAAATATATTCTAATTGATATAATATACATAATATCACATAAAAATCAATAATACCGATCTCATTCTGATATGTTCTCGGTTCATTCATGTACCCTTTATTTACTCGGGTATCATATGTCCACCTACTTTTGTCTTGGTTTGTCTTCAAACCACATTTTACTGAGAGAAATATTGCTCTAATACCATTTTATAATGTCTCACATCATATACATGTCGAGAGTGAGCTTATAGTTGTTAGGACACGTCCCTAGTAAAATCACATCTTATCGTTGGGGCACGACCCTAGTAGAATTTGATACATATAGGGAACAATCCTATATGTACGTGCATATAGTGTAGGACATCACCCTAATAGAATCATAAAAGAAGTGACCTTTCAATTGTTAGAGCACGACACACGTAGAATTACATCATATATATGTAAGGACTGACCTTACAACCATTAGGACACGAACCTATGTAAGGAGTGACCTTGCAGGGCACAAATAGAACCAATGTATTTCCTGTTCGTGCAAAATCTATGTTCAATACCGCAGTTCATCCAATTTATAATATTGCTAACCGTTATAAACGGATTAAGTCATTGAGTCAGAGTGATTGCATATGGGTCCATATCATGTAGGGTACGACTCTCTAGCTACCAACTTAACTTTGGTATGTATATGGACGTCGTTAGTCTAGATAGGTTATTGTTAAAAATTTGTTAACATCTCTCTAATAATCTCCATATAGTGCAACAATCTTAATAATAAAGGGAGCGATCTCATACTTACCAACCACTTATACTCGTGTTGACCTGTGCTCTTGAATAGACAAGTTCACTTTTAAGAAATAGTTCGTGACCCATCAACAATTCTCGAACACAATGTCTTAACCAAACGACACAAACAGACTTGAGACATTTTGTTCTTACATACAATTGATTTTCGCTAGAAATCACGCACTACAACTCGTCCAAGTTTTGCAAGATGAGCTATTTGGTTTGACCGGTTTGACCAGATGATCTGTATAGTTTAGGTTGCATGGTTAGAATTATTCATGACAGTATCAATTTTGCTTGTGGAGTGATTTGAATCTCAACCAAGTTTTCTTATTTTGAGATATTTGATCAACTACGTAATCCGGATCTTACTTTCTCTTGAAGTGATTCCTTAGCATTTTGACGTTCTTGAATATTTAACTTGATTGGGGGGTTTTAGCAATTGTGATCTCAAGGTTTGCATATCCATGAACGTTTACGAGAGTTCTTAGATCTAATTGACTAGGGTTACCATATAATAAAATTACTCGAACTACAAGAATTCAAATAAAGATTAGACCTATAACTTTCAATATTCAGAACTACAGATTGAGTCACAAATTTGATCCCTAATCCCTTAGAACTACGTCTACTTATTTATTTATCTATTTTAATTTAATTATTACTATGTGATACCCGAGTACAAGGTGTAGTTTCCTTTTCGATGGATCGCTTGGTATCTTGAATGAAACCTCTTTGCTTGTGAGAGCACGAGCAAAAGAACTGAGAAAACTTATGCATAAAGTGGACAATATCACACTGTTGAGAGTCATAACCGTATTTGTTAAACTTTTTTAAAAATAAAAAATAAGAAATATGTCTGCACATTTTATAAAAGTTTAAAGGTATTAATTAAATTTTTAAAAGCTTTAAAATATATTTTAAATATTTATTTTTAGAGCTAAAAAGTATTCATTAAAAGTTTCGTGAATATTTTTATTAATTTAGTCCAAATTCTAATTACCAAAAAAAAATTATTTTGACTAAAATAAAAAATAAAAAGGAAAAAATTATATTATATCTTGTGGGATAAGAGTAGAAAGCTTTTTGGAGCTCTATTTTAAGCCCTCCGCACCCTTCTTCTCCATTCCATCCCAAAAGAACCCATTTCTCTGCAATGGAAGATCCTCTGCACAGACTCCAATCTTCTTCTTCTTCTTCTTCTTCTTCTTCTTCAGATATCAAAAATGGCGTCAAAGAAAAGATCTCCAAAAAGGTTAAACTCGGCAACGACGGCAAGCATCCTACCTACCGCGGCGTCCGAATGCGACAATGGGGAAAATGGGTATCGGAAATCAGAGAACCAAAGAAGAAATCCAGAATTTGGTTAGGCACATTCTCCACGCCGGAAATGGCCGCTAGAGCTCACGACGTCGCTGCTAGAACCATCAAAGGCCATTCCGCTTACCTCAACTTCCCTGAATTGGCTCACTGCCTCCCCCGTCCTGCTACCTCCTCGCCTAACGACATTCGAGCCGCTGCTGCTAAAGCCGCCTCGTTTACCACTGACGACCACCACCACATCATCGCCGCCGCTCAATCCGACCTCAATCACAATCGCTCCACTTCCTCCTCCTCCGTCGCTGCGAAATCGCCCGGGGAAATCGACGATCCTTTCTTCGATCTTCCCGATCTGTTCCTTGATCCTAATCACCAAATCGGTACATTCTGTTACTCGCAATTTCTTCCGATTGAGAGCTTCGACTCTGTTCTCGCTCCGCCACCGTCGCCGCCGCCGTCTGAATATTTCGCCTACAGAGGTAGCCTACTCTAGGTCGCCGCCGCTGTCGCCTCTACTGCAGAAGGCTGCAGATTTTGATTTTGATTTTTTTAAACCCTAATACCAAATCAGGAAATTTTTCTCTCTCTCTTTTTTTTTTTCTTTTTTAATTTCTAATTTCATCCTCGGGTTTATTATTATTATTTTTGTATGATTGTAATTTAAAAATGATTTTTAATCATTTTTAATTTACAATCATTTTAAAATTTTAATAATAAACCTGAGGATGAGATTAATAAATAATTTTTAAAAAATTGTCATTTTCTCTTGTACATGTTTGTTTTTTTTATTTTTATTATTTTTTTTTTCTCTTTCAGTGGCATTATGTGTAATTAAGTGTCTTATAGTTTCCAAATTTGTAAATTTCCATGTATTCTACCCACAATTTTTTCTACATTTTGTCATTTATAGTATTTGTAATATTCTTTTTTTATTATTAATTGAATTTGCTTGTCAAATATTTTAAAATAAATATATTTTTTTATTTTAATTTGTGAAGAAATTTTGAATTTACCTTTAAAAAATGCATTTTTTTTTATCTAAAGTAAAGTCTCAATTTTTTTAATTAATATTTGAGGGACAAAAGTGGAATATTCTTTTTTCTTAAAATATATATATATTTTTTTGCTTTTAAGCCATTTCAAAGCTTATGTTTGCTATTAAGGAAGCATGAAGGTGTGGAATATCTTTGCTTTTCCATCTAATTTCAAACCACTAAGAGAGGTTTAATTTATCGTCATCAGATCATATTGGTCGAACTTTAAATTTTATCGACTGAAAGATAATATTATTTGTAATTTTTTATGAGATTCAACATCAGATAGAGCGGGGAACAAAACATTTCTTATAAGAGTGTGGAAATTTCTTCTTAATAGACACGTTTTAAAACCGTGAGGCTGACAACGGTACGTAACTGTTAACAATGGGCTTTGGCTATTACAAATGATATCAAAGTGGATTGTAAGATCACACATCGATTAAAGAGACAAAACGTTTCTAACCATGAAGCTGAATATCGATTAGCTACCCGTGCTTCCGTTCTTTGAATCACGACCATTTTTATTTTGAGTAATTCAAAATTTATAAATTTGGTAAGAAATTGATTAAGAGAGAGAACTCAATATCTCTTTCACTATCCACCATAAATGTGTTTGGTTATGTAACTCATTGAGCTGGCAAATTTGGACTTGTATTACAAGGACAAAGTTAGTAACCCATCATCTCTCTTCAAAATAATGCTCCCTTTATCCTTAATTAAAACTCTAATTTCGAGCCGTTATCTCCCTACCTAAGGTTATATGTTGTGACCCGTTGTTATTTCTCTCTTGCTTGCTTATATAACGTCTCTTTCAAAAATTTCTCTTTCGAAAATCTATCTTTGCCCTCGTTTTCTAAAACCTTCTCTTAAAACCAAGGCCAGAGGCTCGAGCATACGTTGCTTGACCGTAGGCGACGCAAGAACGAATTGGCTTAGCTCACTTGTCGTTGGAAAGTGAGTGCCGCACAATCGCAAGTCCGCTACCATCAAAAGTGCGATTATGACAAGTAAGAATGAATCGATACTACATCTGGATGAAAATTCTGTGGATTGTATCGTGTAATTCTCGAAACCTTAATGATCCCAGAATTTAAAAAGTGGCTCGTAAGTCAAAGATTTATCCGACACAAAATTAAAAGTTCGAAAGACCCAATTTATATTTAAACGATTTTATTTTTATTCTTCAACTTGAGTATAGTTCAATTTATTAACGGATGAGTATTAAATAATAAAGAATTTGAACGACTAAACTTTTCAGCATTTATGTGATGTTAAGATATGCATTATTAGACAGCTAGAATGGGTTTGTCAAAGGAGAGGCAATTTGTGGCTAGCTTTAGTTGAGAGGTTGGGTGTTTTCAATGCATAGAATATGAAGGCATAGTGTGCAAGAAATAGGCATGTCATATGTGAAAACATATAAAGCACATGAGAGACTAGGAATCCAATGTACCAACAAATATTATTAATTTTTTTTTAGAAAAAGAAGTGGTTGGTTCTATCGCTCGATGGGCGATGGATATCTGCTTTGATTGCAATTTTAAAGGTTAATGATTCGATCTTCTAAACCTGATGATTGTTAAACTACATAGAAGTGGTCGGTGTGAGGTTATAGTTTCTGAAAGTGTTCATGTGACTTGATAACCCGACCAATCCGAACTACCCAACTCAACCCAAATCAAAAAAAGCTGAGTGGGGTTGGGTTAGTTTTTTTTTCTTTTTCTGTTTTGGTTGGGTTGAATTTTTTGAAAACTGGACAAATTCAGTTCAATTACGGGTTCAGTTAAGAGTATTCATATGACTCGATAACCTGACCAATACAAACTATCCAACTCAACCCAAACCGAAAAAAGCTAAGTGGGTTTGGGTTAGTTTTTTTTTTTTTTTTTTTTTTTTTTTTTTTTTTTTTTTTTTTTTTTTTTTTTTTTTTTTTT